AAATGGAGGGCGGCCGCTTAGTGAGCAGGGGCTGGCCAATGAACGGAGGATCCCCAGCAGCTAGCAGACGGGCGACGCAGACACGAAGAATGCCAGCGTGGGACGAAGGAAGGACGCGAGCGACGGGCAGCAGACGACGCAGAGGCACGAGAAGAGAGAGAGAGAGAAGGAAAGAAGGGGATGAAGGGAACACCAGCAGCGGACACAGCAGAGAAGCGCACACGCTGGGCGGATGGGGGAGCGGCGAGGGCGCAGAGAGAGAGAGGAGCGAGCAGCGGGTGAGGGGGCAGATTGGAAGGCGAGCAGCAGCCACAGGGCAGGAAAGGGGCAGACTGGCAGACTGGCAGTTTCCTAGTAGGCGAGCAGCGGATGACGGGCGTCGCGCGCCTTCCTCCGGAGTGGATCGCTCAGTGGAGGACGCCGGGTGGGCCTCGCCGCTGAATCGGGAAGCAACTAGCGCGCCCTCCTGGCGACGGCCACTCACATGCGCCCAGAGCAGCTGAGAGCATATTATTATTAGACGACAAGACAGTATTAATGCCTTTTATTGTCGCTTGAAGACCAGAGCAGCAGCGTCGCGCAGAACAGCCGTGTCGACTTGTCACGAGAGGCCTGCGACGGAGTCTCCGGTTGCTAGAATGCTACCGCCCAACTTAGGTCCCGCCTATCGAGTTCTAGCGTCTGCCTCCTGATTATTCGCAGTCAACCGGGCAGTCGAGCGGCTGCGCATTGCGAAGGGTCGAGATGGTGAAGAGAATCCGTCTGACTCCTATGCCGGACACTCTACGACGCGACTCTGCCATCATCGTGCAGCGCTGCAGTGTGGTCTTCATCCGGACAGGAGCACAGTCGAGGCGGCTCTGGCGCAGGAGCCACCGGCCTAGCTCCAGGGTGCCATCGCGAACTCCCTTTGCGGGTCGCCCGTGATTGGGCCGGGCGCCTGCACTGGCCAGAGTGGAGGGCCCGAGGGGCCAAATGCAGGTCGACGGCGTCTCTGGAAGCTCTCCTGGTCCGTCCGATGTTGTGCTCGTTCAGTCGTTCTGAGATCCCATAATCGCAAAATAATCTTTACTAGACCTGTCCACAGAGTTTTGGACCGTGTACTCTTTGAAGCCTTCGCCTTTCTCCCATCGACCCCGGCGATGCCTTGCTGCCATTGTCGTTGCAACAGTCGCCATATCGAAGCCTGGCGCGAGCTGTCATCTCGCTGACTTGTCGTTCAACAAATTGCCCCTGATCCACTCAGATAATCCTCGCTCCCTGTCGGTGGAGTTGACGGACAGGTCACTGGCGGCGAGTCAGCTCTCACGTCAAAATCTTCCGACTCTCTGCCGGATGCGCTCCCGCACCCTGCCTTTCCACACTCGTCCTAGTCCCCCCGACCGTTCATCCTCCGCGTCTTCAATGGTGTCAATACTAAAACGGGCGTTGCGCTCCTTGCCGTTTCGTCCCCAGCCGTCCTGGCTCAACTCCTGCCATGCGGCCAATAACGAGTTTCCCCGTCACGGTGATCCCTGAAGATCGTGTCTGGACTGGGCTGTCAGAAGCCAATTTATATTAAAGACTGATCCCAGACTCCAGGCTACCGGATTCCATTCCCAAAATGTGCGCCGTTGAGAAGCTTTCTCCTGGTGCTGCTTCGGAGCGGTTTTTAAGTTATCTTCTCTCCGACTTCAAAGAGTCAATTATGGCAACGTGACCGTACGCTACAGCAGAATAGGGGCCGATTTGCTACAGCGGACTAGAAGGATGGATATACCCACGCGGCTTGCTGTGGGGCAAGATACCAGCCGTCACCCCAGACTTATCATTATCGTCCAGACAAATATCCATTCATACGGAGTACTCGGAAATTTTGACGCTGGTAGGTCTTCTGCTCAGTCCTGACGCCCAGTTGCAGGGTTACGGAGTATTATTATGACTACTGTTCTTTCCTTCACATTTTTGTTTCTAAGCAATACTCTATACTTTTGTCCTGTATACTCCGTACTCTGTATATCACTCAACGGTGGGCCCGCTCTCGCAATAGCGACGACAGGGGTCAAACGAACACCCAGCAACTCATGCTCGCAGTCTCAATTTATTGCGCGGCTCGTCACTCATCCGATCCAGGCTACCTTTACTGCGGAGTATACTGGAGCTTGCTAAATTGCTACTTCATACGGAGTATGAAGTGGTTTATGAAAACCCAGGGGTCTGAACCTGCAGGATCAGATCCAGAGTGCTGCAACAGACTCGGATCAGGGTTCTTAATCCGAAGCTCTCCGTGAGATGAAACTAAGAAGTGGACCAATCGTCACAACGGCTGACGAGTGCCCCCCCAAACCGTTGAAGAACGATAGAACCCGACAAAATCATAGCTGCTCCGTAGTTACTCCGTAGTTATATTAGTACTGGACGATCGATCGAGAGTCAGGGATTGAGATGCGTCAGGAACAGCCGGACAGGGCTTGGGATTGGATAGTAACAGTTAAACGGTTGGAGACTTAGAGTCCAGCTTGGTGGTCACAGCCTGGACTGTACGAAGTATCAATTATTGCCTACATGAAGCAATCTGGAAGCTATGCCTCTTTGCAGATGATTTCATGTGACAAAGGTCACGTTGACAAGACTGGACTGAAGTTCATCTTTATACTTACCAATCGGACGGTCCGCAGTCTGTTTACGGAGTAGTTTAGTGAGTCACGGCCCTACAGCCCCTACTCCGTATTTCTATTGTTGAGTATTGACCCTTCTCGACCAGCTAAACCGAAAGTTGTTGATCTGCGAGCCTGACAGAAGTGAAGTACGGAGTATTACAGAGTAAAGCAAGATGATTCTTTCTGTCTGTCTATTATCCTCGAGAAAGACTGCCAATTCCTTTCTTCAGCTTCTTTGGAGATGAGATGTTGATCTAACCTTCCTACAAGGCTAGAGTTCTGAAGATGCTTGATTCTAAGGATAGAAAGGTTGAAAAAAAAAAAGAAGAAGAAGAAGAACCTCATCAATGTCCCAGCCACAGTGTCAAAGCTTATTGACGCCAGCAGAACTAAGAGAATGGACTGGAAGACAAGAAATCCTCGACCTTGCAGGCAAAGATAGGAAGGAACCTTGGAAGTTCGGAGTCCGAGTCCCGTCTATATAATAATATAATGACAATACCTACGAAGATCGTTCGCGATTACGTTACGTCTTGCTCCCACAGGACACTGTCAGTCTTTCAGCTTGACGGACTCGGTGATGCAGCTATGTCGTGCTTCTCTGACAATGCTTTTCCTTCGATTGTACAGTCGAATAAAAATTATCTAGCCAGTAAACTGTAAGGAAAGCGAATGGCTGTTGGATATTAGGTATTCCACTGCTATTCTTAACAACAGGCGATCAAAACAATCTCGAATTGAAACAACCGCCACTACCTTACTATCATGATTAATGTTAATGTCGGCTGATCCTTGCAATCGACTTGCGATTCTAGGTGGTTACCTTGGTGTGATGCCGGCGGGTAAACAGCCAGCCAGCCAGCCGGAGTGGCCGTGTTGGCGCCCGTTTCTAATAATAAATACCGCACCACACCACACCTTCTTGCGAACCGAGGTGTACTCCGTACCATGCTTCGAGTCAGTTCAATTCGTTCCAGTCGATCGGCGACCGGAAAAAAAAGCTTTTTTTTTTTAAAAAAAAGTCTGGATCTACGGAAGCCTTATCCATGGTCTATCCCAGAATAACAATTCTAACCAAAAAAAAAAAGTCGTCTTCTTAACTTCTTGAAATGGGTAATGGGTAAAGAAAGGCTGCGCATCTCATCATTCTCATGATGGTGGAGGAGGCGCGGCAAACAACCTCATTATTATTGTTAACTACGATAGGTATCTGTGAACAGCTACAGAGTACTCCGTAAAAGTCTCTTCCAAAGTTCCCAATTAGGAATCTATCCTAAGTATGGATGGACTCCGATGGAGGTGATGAGCCTTGCGTGAGCTTCGCCGCCGTCTCGAAAGCTATTTTCGAAAGCTATTTTTGTAATGGTTTTTGTGATGGCTAAAATCCAGCCTTTAGCAATTAGCGCTGGTTCTGCGATTTGGCTGGCTTGGGGCTGGCGGATGGTGAAACTGACCCTGGTTGAAATTCTAACTTTGAGACGGGACTGTCACGGGAGGACCTTTTTGGAAAAGAGAGTGTAAAAGAAAGGGAAAAAAAGACCTTATACTCCGTAAGTGACAATGTAACCAGTAACCAGACTGTGATCTGCAATGCTATATCACTCGCGGTAAAAATAACAAGAATAATAACAATGACCTGATGGAATGAATGAACCATCAAGGAAAGGCCCCGCGGCTAGGAATAGCCGTGCGGGAAGGGAACCACCGAGCTGAGTTTGATTATCAAATGAGATATTCGATCCGACGCATCGCTTATTCTGCATTTTATCTACGGAGTAGTACTAATATTATGTGGCAACCGAAGTAAAATAAATGGTATTGCAATGATGATTGGTTGCACAAGAATAGCGTAAGCTAGAATAATGTCTCATTGGCAGATACCTATGTTGGGAGCCAAATGAAAAAAAAAATCTTCATCTCTCTCTCACTTTTAAAGGAAAAGTCATGCGAAGAAAAAAAATACAGATTAAGACTGTGGTTTACACTGGAGAATTAACGGGTGAATGGATGCCAAGATTAAAAAATTGACCATTGCAGTGATTCCTGCTATGCTCTTTCTTTAAAAGACACTCTGCTCAGCTCTTCTGCGGAGAATAAAATCCACCACCTCTTGAACAGTCTTCCACATAGGAGATCATGTTGAATGCTAGTCTAGTGGGGTCTAGTGACAATCGAGAGGGGGTAATATCGAGAGGGGTTCTTGAGGCGGCGGCGATTGGGTGGCGTGTTCGCCAAGGGGGAGAAATCACCGCCGCGCGACGAGGGAGTGGCGTTCTGTCTTCACACAGGCTGAGGGAGGAGAATAGAGGACCTTGTAGCAGCGCGCCTGGGCCCGTCGCCGCCGAAGGTGACACTGTAAAATCAATAATAAGAAGAGCGCTGATGGAGATACCCACCCGCGTCTGCCCCAGGCCCACTGCCCATGCCCAAGCCCAAGCCCAAGCCTGAGCCGAGCCCGAACCGTGAATCACTCACAGCCATCTTGCCATCCTGGTGCTTCACCATTTCCCTCTCGCCATCAATTCATTCCTCCTTCTCTTGCTGCCCGACAGCGCGTCCCTCCCCCTTCTCTCTACCTCTCCCTTCTTTCTTGTTTTTACTCCCTTAACGCGCTTTTACCATCTATACCAGTAATTCCTTAATTAATATTTCTGTTGCGCGCTCTGCTTCGGCGTCGGGGTCGCTCGCTAAAGTGGTTCCCGAGCGGAAGAACGCCAATCCTACTAATTAGGCACTCCCTTCGGCTGCGTTTTTCCATCGCCTTCTCCGAGTCCGGTTTACTCTCCTCATCATCCTCCTTCTTCCTCATTAAACGACGCCGGGCCTCTCTTTTTTGGAGTATTGATGGTTCTCGTTATTTGATCCGGTTGTATTTAATCTCGCACGGGTCTGTTTTTTTTTTCACGACTAGTCCTTTCCTGGCTCGCTGGGGGCGGTGAGTCTTTTTGACGTGGAGGACGAACAAACGAACAGCTTGGGTTTCATCTTTCTGCCCCTGAACAATTCCCATCCCAGCCTCATCATCGAATCCATCTGCTGAAGAGACACGCCAAACTGGATCAGCAATCCGTTATTCGTTGGTCATCATGAGGGAAGTGAATTTCAGCATCCCCAATGTGAACAAGGCTTCCGTCAACATCACCACCACGCTCTACGATCGTCGAGCCCTGGACTGCACTTCGACCCTCCCTCTCATCAATTCCCTCAACCACCTCGCCTACCTGACCACCTCTTCGGCTCGAATCCGAGACATACTCACCGTCGATGGCGGCATTGAGCGGCTAGTATGCATCCTCAAGGAGGGCAGGAGCAAGGACTTGATGGAGATGTGGAAATGGAGTCTCGCCTTCCAGTGCGTCGTCAACATTGGTGTTCGCGGTTCGGAGAATGTCCGGACAAGGGTTGTCGAGGCCGACATGGTTCCTGTCATTGCGACCATCCTCGATAACTACATTAAAGTCGTGGATAAGATTCGAGCTCGCGCCGATGCTGAGCATCAGCGCTCCTCAGCTTCGAGGCATCCCAAACCCGCCACTCGCACACGTGATCCCGCAGTATCAGCATCGTCATCATCAGGACACTCCCCTGTCTTCGACCGCTCGTCGACTACGGAGCAGCGTCCATCTCGTCGCCAGGCGCCTCCTCCTTCCATCGAGATTCCCCAGCCTTTCAGCCATGACCACCACCACCACCACCATGACCACCACCACCACCACCATCACCACCACCACAACCACCATCACCACCACCACGCCGATCCCAACACCACCGACGCCGCCCCGATACCCCAAGTAGCGTTGACCTCTCCTCCCGAGCGGATCACGTTTGGCCGCGAGGTTCATAATCCAAGGCTCCATGATCCTCGATACCAGCAAGGGGCACACGGCCATCGGGCGGTGCAGCCTCTTGCGACGGCTGTTCCGACCACGGATGCGGCCGATGGATTCGGCTTGCGACCTGTCCGGGATGCCGATCGCCTTCCCAGCACGCTCCCTCGACTACAGACCGGTCACACTTCCCAGCCCGACTCGCCGACGACCCCGAGCGGCCCTGCTGCTCAAGCTAGTGCTGCTCCCCAGTCGACTCCTCGACGGCAACGACCCACTGTCCAACAGCAACAAACCGAATCGGACGACACCAACGGCGAGGACTCTCCGATGGCCGATGATACGACATCGGGAGAGGTGGCGGAGCCGATTGTGGGTGTCCAGAACGGCATGGAGATCGATAATGTCGGCAATGGAGAGTCGATGTTGGATGAGGTTTCGGACTCGCATGGCTTGGCCATGACCGACCCTTCCCGGACGCAAGATACGGAGTCCTTTAATATCAGCCACCGGTCCGTCGTAGACGGCAGTATGGTCAATACGGCCAACACGCAGACCACGGGGGCGCTGGGCTTCTCTCCTACCCAGGTTCCCAACAACACCAACTCCCCCGCGCTCACACCCAGCCCCTATTCGTCATACCTTCGGAATCAAAATACCCCGCAGGCCGTCTTGACGGCGATGCCTCGGGATGAAGATGTCCTGATGTCCTTGCAACTCCTCGCCTACGTTTCCAAATATTGCAACCTCCGATCCTACTTCCAACATTCGCATCTCGTTCCGAAGCTCAAGATCGGTCGGGAACTCGCTTTGATCGACGACCCGACCGGGGCGACTCTCCCGCCGGAGGATCCGGAGGAGGAGCAAGACGAATATCTGCTGCCGGACGATTTCAACATCTTTCCTCTGGTGGAGAAATTCACGGTCCGGCACCACTCCAAGGACATGCAGTACTGGGCGTGTGTGGTGATGAGGAATCTCTGTCGCAAGGATGAGTCGAGAGGGGGAATCCGCCAGTGTGCGTACTGGAAGTGTGGAAAATGGGAGGAATACCAGCGACAGTTTGCGAAATGTCGTCGCTGCCGTCGCACCAAATATTGCAGCAAGGACTGCCAGAAGGCTGCGTGGGTCTATCACCGTCACTGGTGCCATAGCACGCCATAATTCTATGAATCGACTGTCGGATCCCACCTTTAATCTTAATGCATCTCCATCCTATTCAGGTCGCATGGTGTCATTTTGTTGTTGTTTGTCGGTCGGTTTTTGACGCATGGCATATCAGTTCTGCAGCAGGGTTGTTTTCCTTCCATTGATTGCATTTCCCTGCTCAGAGCATGACGGCGTTTGTACTCCATCATTAAGATACCTTTTTTTTGTTGTCATTGTCATTGTTGTTGTTGTTGTTGCTGTTGTTATATATGCATCTACTTCATTCATCTTTCAATTTTTTCCCTTTCCATTCTACGACCTTTTCCTTGATGTATTGAAACTTGGAACCACCATTTCCATTTGTCGAGTTTGTTTGAAATGTTCATTTGTTGAGTCATCTCATCCGGCTAGGGAACCATGTCTTCAAAATCTTGCGTTTTTTTTTCTTGTCGCGTCTGTTTCGTCTGCGCTGGTGTATGCTGGCATCGACTACCATCTACGAGTTTCCTTTGTATCTGGACTACATACATATCGCATGGGTATGGTAGTTAAAACGCATTCCCGCTTTGACTGGAATCAGATAAGAATTCTGTGTTCAAAGTAAGCATAAGCATATGTAGTCTTTGGTACAACCTGTAAACACAGAACAACACAGCTCAGCACTGTTCACCACCGGTCTACTTTCCTTCAAGCCTTCTCTCTATGCCCATACGTAGCTTGTAACCGCTGATCCAGATACTCCTTCGCCGTCAACGTGCGCTTCTCACCTAGCGACCCTGCTCCACCACCGAACCCGACTTTCGCTGCCTCTGCAGCCTCCTCCTGCTGTCTCTCGCGAGCAGCCCGCTCAACCAACGGACTGGGAAGCGGCACCAGCGCCGTACTGCCAACAGGATGGCAGAAGTAGACGACGCTGTAGCGGTCTTCCTGCGTAGCTGCGGCGGAGTCATCACCTTCACCCTGACTCAGAGGGAAGACGACGCGGTGGACAGTCGACTTGAGAAGGCCATTCGTCCAGAAACTGAGTAGATCGCCTATATTGACTACGATTGGGGGGAATGTCGCCCCTCCTTCTTCTTGCGTCTGCTTATTACTGTGATGGCTATCCGGCCAAACAGGCACAGAAGCCCATGTCCCCTCCGGCGTGAGGATCTCCAACCCCGGCTGCCCGGGCCGCTGGAAGAGTAAAGTGATGGTGCCGTAGTCGGAGTGTGCGCCGGCGCGGACGTCGACGTCAGGCCTGTAGTTGGCGGAGGCAGCAGGGGAGCGGAGGGAAGGATAGTACAGTAGACGGAGGATAGAGCCCGTAGGGCCGGTGGAGGGGTCGTGGCGGGTGACGAAGAAATCGGGTGGGATCTATCATGTACATACATTAGACTGCATTGCAATGCATTTGCAATAATGGGGGTGTGTTTGCTATGTGTATATGGGATGGGTTACGCACCTCCAATCCCAAAGCAAGCAGCTTCATCACCCTTGCGCAGGTCCTGTTGCACGATGTCGCGAAATGGTCCAGTTCTGCTTCGTGGGGGATCAGTGAGGGAGGGAGAGGCTGTTGCGCTTTGCCATTCTTGAATTCGCCAAAGTTCATTGCCCTGGTTAGGTCAAAAGGACATTATGTCAGTTGGATATATTATAACTATTCTCCGATATGTATGTAGTCCTGCAGAGAATAGTTTCGTTGAGAGTAAATATTAATGGTAGTCATACTCTTTGAAATCACCTATCTGTTCTCGAGAACCAATAATTCAGTCATTAATTTCTGCTTCTGCAGGGTTGATTCCTTCAGACATACCCGTTGATGCTCCGGATCCAATGTCTCTGTGTGCATGCCTGACCAGCCACGGTTCTATACAATACACATCAGTTGACCAGTCGGATCCATCAGTCGATCAGTTGGCTAATGCCAATGCAGTGAGTGGCTCATACATCAGTTCTGATGGTGCATGAGGCTTTTTCTTCGCGGGGAGAAGCGAAGAATTTCTTGGACTGGATTATTTTTGTAGGAATCTAAGTTAGCGTATGTACTGTACGAAAGTTATGGGTTTTTATCAGTGATGTTTTGAAAGAAACAAAAGGAATGAAATGACACTCCAGATCTTTTTTTTATACAGATAGATAGAGATATACTCTCCCAGTCATGACTGTTACGTAGGTATATAGTTCTCATACCAGCTCAAAAATCCGCTCCACCTCCTCCGCAGAGAAATCGCTCCCCCGGCCATCGACATAGAAAAAGCCATATTTGATGGCCGCATCGAGCATCGCCTTGCCCACGACCGGATCGTCCGGATTCGAGATGTCGATGATGGGCAACTGGATCGGAGAGGTAGTAGTAGGACCTGTCATTGTTGCGGTAGGTTTGTGACTGGCTCAGAAAGGGAAAGAATGTTCTATTGAAATGAAGGGGGGGGAAAAAGGTAAGTGAGAGTGCTTTCTGCTGTTTGTTTTAGTCTTCAGGTTGAGGCTTTTATAATCATCTCTTAATAGGTAAGTACTGTACTGTACATGCGAAGAAAATGCGGGGAATGGAAGGTTCCGCATGTCCTTATCTAAAATAAAACTCTAATATTACCATTCGTGATATCTACCTATCTACGGTATTCTCGCCACGACCACTGCCGCCAATGATAAGCAGGAAAGATAAATTAAATTCGATTCGATCGCATGGCAGTTTTCACTGGTAGGTGGTTATCAATACACCAACTATTTTTTTTTCTCTGGAATGAAGGAGTCGGCCTCGTATCTCAATCATTGACTTTGGTTTTGGTGGTGATACGGCCGAAAGATGTTATTTGTGAAAGATAGTATTTGCTTTTCATACTGCTGTTGTCTGGATGATCTGGTTCTTAGCATCTATCTCAGTCTGATCTATCTTGGATAATCATTGTTATATGTAAATCATTGTCAACGGGTAGGTTATTATCGATTTCTGGAGACTATCCTGTATATGGACGTGTGTACGTAAACTGATAAATGCTCCTCCTTCCCGTAAATCACCCCCCACATGCAATCCCTATAAACGACACTGCTGCACCACAATCTCCATCACAGGAAAGTAGACGACCTGTATATCTATAGGTCACGTGCTGCGTAGCAGCTAATGACGGCGCGTTGTGATTGGCGGCTCGCTAGCGCCCGAAGCCACTCCACCGCCTCTGTGCCTGGCCAGAAGGCCTCCGTCGAGTCGGCCACTTAGTTACCTAAGAGGAGTATGGCTGTCATGAATATTGTTATTCGGTCGCCTTGTTCTCTCTGCTGACCTCTCCACAACTGCGACGGCCGTCAGCTGCTCTGTCTCATTGGCGGTCTGCTCTCCTGCTGGAGACGCACTCCGGCATCCGCAGTTAAATCATCCGTGGCCTTGACAAGCTAGCTTCAGCTTGCTGCACCATGCCTAGTAAGTGAACAGTGGACTTGTTCTTCCAGAGATTAAGGTCACATTGCTAACCATCCTTTGTCGAGCAAACAGTCCGCGCTTTGGATGACTGGGCCGCCGGCCGTACCGTGTCCCTCCCCCTCTCCGCTCTCAAGGGCGCTGTGGTCGGAGTCGATGCGTCGCACTATATCTACCAGCACCTTCACCATCACTCCACTCGTGAACCGCTTCTCATTGCCCTGGGTGGTTTCCCGTTCGCGCTCAAAGCCAACATCGAGAGGGAGCTTCAGACGTACAAGAATCTGGGTATCACTCTCGTCTTCGTGTTCAACGGCCTCGATTTTGGTCGGAGGGATCCTCAACCTCAGGCCCGGGCCGAGTCTGCTCGCGCCTTTGAACAAGCTTGGGAGCTGTATGATCAACAACAGGCGGATCAGGTGGTGGATGCATTTAGCAACGCTGGTATGAATTGCTGTTGCCC